TTCATGTTATAAATATCAATACTGACATAATTTAAACCAGTTCAACTTGGATCAGCTTGTATTTCCTCAATTTTATTTCCCTTGTTTTTCCGATAAAAACAAACAAACAAATAATTTGAATCAATAATTGTTCAATGTTCAAACAGATGGTTTTCATGCAAGAAAAATAATTTGGGATATGTGCATGATGCATGTTATTTTTTTCCCCACAAAGTTAAAACAAGACTATTTTACACATGTATCAGTTTAAATTGGAAGCGAATTTTATTCGATTTGAATAAGTTAAAGTTGTTTTTCTACTTTCCAGATGTAGAACTGGGAATTGATATCTGGTTATTGGACATTTAGCCAAATGTATTGATTGTATGTACGTGTATATATTGACTTAATTAAAAACAACTTGTGAGATAGATTAAAAATTTGCTTTCAAGATAATTTTTAATTTGTATCAAAGAAATTAAACACAGTTGGATTCAGTACCCATTATTTTGTATTGATTAATTCAGTTTGAAGGAAAAGACAGTTAGTTTATTGTCAGTCTCTAAAGCTGGTGGTCAGAACATACACGTGGTGAAAAAACAAGATCCTTAGAAAAAAACACGACATGCAACAACCAAATCACTCACATATGTTGAGGTAGCTTTCGAAGATGTTTAAATACCTTTCTGATGAACAGTGTGAAGCTGCTGCGGATGTGAAGGCATGGATTGGCAAAGCTAGTGCAGCATTCCTAAAACCGAACAACGTATCTAACTAAAAGTAACTGTCAGCCAACACAAAAGTCACAATTTTCAATACAAAGTCAAGACAGTTTCACTGTATTGAGCGGAAGCTTGAAGAACAGCGAAGCCATCATCCACAAAATACAAGTATTTATTAAAAGTTGTCCACGATAGATACTGTCAGTCTGTTGAACATGTACCATCAGCAACAACGTAATGTTGGAGAGAACAAACCAGATTTCAGTTTAGGAAGAAACGCGGTAGTGTGGTTCATAGTGGATAGGACAAATATTGAGGAAACCATTCAAGACAAATTCTAACTTGGAACCCTCAGTCCATAAGAAAAATATGATAAACCATGAAACACACTATGTCGAAAATTGGTGACAGACATGGAAAGTATCAATAAAAACTGAATAGAACTGTAAAGTAGATCCTAGAACAGAGTATGTTGAAGAATACTAGCCTGTGGCCTACGCTCCATGATAAATAGCAGGTGTGAATAAGTAAGTAATTCAATTCGAAAAAAAGTTGCTGCATTGCATCAGAGTACTCATAAAAATAAGAAATCAATAAACCACTATTTCGAAAAGGGTCAGGTTTAAATTCAATAAGTTAAATCCTATTGATCTTTGGTTTGTTGTACTAATAATAATGAATGAATATCATTTCAGAAAATCCTTCTTAATTCAAGTTTAACAAGCGCTATCATTATCTTTATACTATAAGATAGTAATGATAATCTTCCCGTCAACAATTAAATCTTGATGATTTCAAAAATGTGTAAAAACACTAATCTCCATAACTAGTGACTAGCTTCGTGAGGAATTTCTTGTAGTTCTAGTGAGAAGATGTGACAAGTGGAGTTCAACCCTATTGGGTGTAGGCAGTAACTACCAAAGACAAATAGGTGAGGTCGCGCAAAATCCCCTGATCAATCAAAGTTAGACATTAACATTAGCCAGTCTAGTGGTCCAGAGGTTAGGCGTTCACGAGCAAGACCGAAGGCCCCGGGGTTCGAATCCTGCGAGATGCAGGAGTCGTGAATGTTCACTGTTGAGGAGTTTCGTATCAGTACAAAACGGCCGTCCAGTGCTTCCAGGTTTCAGGTGGTCTAACAATGACTGATTGATGATTTCAAAAATGGGTAAAAACACTAATCTCCATAACTCTAATTGGAAATTAAACCTTCCTCTGTTTATGAAATTCGACAGTGAAATACATAGGAAACAGTAGTATGACTTTATTCAACGAACCATGAGGACAGAAAAACAATATAGAAACTTCTCTGGAACTATGGTATACCTGAAACTGTAGTCAACAACATACGGAGAAACTTTAGAAGATGTGGAAACGTTGACATACCCAGGCAGCATCACTGATAAACAGGGGGGATATGATGTACATATTAAGACATGGATTAGTTATACAAGAGCAGTATTTCTAAAACATTTAAAGAACACATGTTTTTGAGACAAAATTAAAACTTCAAAACAGTTCAATGACATTAAATAGCCAGTTTAAAATAGATATATGGACGATACATTAGTTGTTATAAGAAGCTAATCGATACGTTCTCAGACTGCATTAAATTCATTTTCGAGAAAGACCGATCAAGATTATTACAGATGAAGGGGCTGAGCGAACAGAGCAGAAACTTATAAGTAGCATCTTACAAGTTAGTAATTTCCCGACGAATATGATTAAAACTACAATCAAAAGAAACAATTCACTGATAAACCATGGATTAGTACCGTAGTTTTACCAAACTACCCCGTTGCAACAGAAGCACTCCATAGTCTTAAGATAATACAGAATTAAAACAGGTTGTAAGGCAGCTAACACACTTTGTTACAATTAAGTTTGTATAAGGGATAAGATTCCTGTTTATATCAACAAAGAACTGTGTCTACAAATTGGGGCTTGTCGATTATGACGTTGTCTATATTGGACAGATATGTGGTGAAATCTTAACTCCGGTCAAAGAACACACGTGGTACACAAAGAAACCATCTAATAATCCTGTAGAGCTTGAAAGACTGCAACTTTAAATCTGCAACAACAGCAGATGGTATCTACAATAACCATGAAGTTGACATTAAGAATATCAAAGTACCACAATAAGGCTTTATCACATATAAAGAAAGTTGATTAGCTGAAGCTTTTCATATCATACTATATTTTACTGCCCTTAATATAAAAGAATGCCTTAAAAATTCATCCAACGTAAACCACCTAGCCAAACTGTTCTTTTCACATCTCACAAGATCATCATACATACTAATTAAACTGTATCGGTTCACATTACAAATGACACATTTTTCACATCGTTTAAAACACACAAATACAAAAGCTTATTTGATTTAAATCACTTTGATCAAACTGTTATGACAATGACTTGGTCAGACTTGTTTTTTTTTTACTGACTGAGTGACTGATTGACTGTACCAAATATATTTTTGTTCTTTGTTCCTTTGTTCTATTTATTTAAAGTTGGATTAATTTAGTGGATCAATTTATTTATTCTCTGAAGTAGTTTATATTGAGTCAAGAAACGTTGGGAAAATTTCAACTTTTCTACTCATTGAGATACTACAAATATATATATATATATATATATATATATATATATATATATATATAAACTATATTGCTTTATAGATCTGAAGGTTTCCTATGAGATCAGAGGTTCGTTGTAAACATTGTGGATGGTTCGGTTATACTTTGGCGTGTTTCACTAATAGTAAATATACAAATTTAGTTTGAAGGGTGACCAGTTTCATTGATACTGATAGTGGCTCTCTTGCAACATTCCCGAGGGCTATTGTTACTTGGGTGCTGTATCGCATAACACCATTGCTAGTAATAATGAGTTTGACAATCATGTAAGCGGAATGGGTCGAATTGGCCTGTCCATGCGGCGCATATTGATTGACGCAATCATGTGATGGAAATAACCACTATATATGTACTAGTGTATATATATAAATAGTATGAATGATCCTTCACGGTGTCAGGTACCTGTGTGGTTGCGCCACAGGATTGAGCTGTGCTGTCCATGTTGTAGTATGAAGACGTGAGCAGTGTCTGGATATTCTGAAAACCAATGGAAAATTACTCTTGTCGACTGACGGTAAATTTATTTATATACAAATAATCTAATAGAAATTTTTCAGAATATTAGCAATATAAAACTTAATAAATGAGCTTCATATATTCTTAGGAAACGTATCCAATCTCAATGATGAATAAATTTCAGTGAAAGTTACATATTTGAAGTATTTATTCAGATCATTTTTTGTTGTTTCTTGTAAAAGTTAGATTCGGCAAATTAAACTATAGTGTAAATACTGAGAACTCCACATGGAACTCCTCTGAGGTTCCTGCTGGTTCTAAGCGTGGAAAAAAGGAGCAGGGATGAATATTGTGTGTTAGAGACTTTATCACGGAGAAAACTAATTCGCTGGAAAAACGCTGGTCAGATAGTAAAATTCTAGCAAGAATATTATTGAACAGACTCTAATCTGACAGTCTGTTTTCTCAATTAGAGATTTACACTTTGAAATCATCAGTCAGTCATTGTTAAAACATCGTTAGAAACCTGGAATCACTGGGCGGCCGTTTCGTCCTGGTATGGGACTCATCAGCAGTGCGCATCCACGACTTTTGCACTTCACAGGATTTGAACCCAGGACTTACGGTTTTATGCACGAACACCTAACCTCCGGATCACTGAGTCGAACTCCAACCGTGTACATGTCTAACTCTGATCAATCCAAGGATTTCGAGCGGCCTCAGACATTTGTCTGCGCTAGTTACTGCCTTCACCCGATACGCCTGCACTCCACTGGTGACATCTCCTCACTAGAACTTCGAAAATTTCCTGCAAAGTGCAGAATTTGAGGATGCTCACTGCTGATGAATCCCATACCAGGACGAAACGGCTGTCCAGTACTTCCAGATTTCTAATGCTGGCCTAACAATGATCGTTGATGATGATGGTGATGAAAAGCATTTGACTAAAAAATCGACTAAAATCTTTTCTAAATTTAGAAATATTTGTTTTGAAAACAGCAACATTTTCTTCTCCTTCCCTGATAGGTGGTTAAAATCACTTAACTATGAGCGTGTGATAAACAGTCCAAAGGAAAATCAAGTCAAATTCATTCCATAAAAAAAAAAAAAAATCCTGTTTTGCCTAATTGGTCAAGTTCTAACTGGAACCAATGAAATTCAATGATATATGCCTATAGAATTATACGCAATGTGACACCATGTCTTGTCTTAATGCATGATTTTTATTATCCATAGATAGTATCGTCATTGGATTCATTCGTTTAGAAAATGTACACCCACCTACTCTTATCTCGAATGAATAAGATGTAATAAAAACACACACACACACACACAGAGATTTTATTAGCATTGAACATAGAGAATGTTTTAAAAGTATCCACTTCACATTAGTGTGTGTAGAATTAGTTTCACACGATAATCATTAGCCATACACTTCCATTATGATGAAAATTTTGGGCATTTGTCTTATTGTTTCATTGTTATTCATTGGAATAAATTGTATGAAAAGTAAGTCAAATTGTTTTTAGTTTTTTTTTAGTCAATCTAATGTTTGTTTGAATACTTACCTTGTCTTGACTAATATGGTTGTTAGCCCCATTGGAGCATAAGCCACTGATCCACATTCTCTGAAATACTTTATTCAGGATCTTCCTTGCCAGTTCTATACAACTGCTGTTCATTGGTCTTGAGGATTCCAAGTGATGGTTTGTCTTGTGATGTGGGTGGGTGATTTTCTCAATGTGTGCGCTATCTACTACTAACCATACTTTCTCATTTCATCCTCAGCTGAAAGTGGGTTTGTTCTCTTTAGCACTAGGTTGCTATTGATGGTGTTTGGCTAACGGGTCTTCAGTATCTAGTGTAGACAACGGTTAGTAAATACTTGGACACATTCTGGATGTTGGCTTATGTGGTTCTCCAAGTTTCCGCTCTATACAACAGAACTGTCTTGATATATTTGTGTTGAAAATTGTGAGTATGGTATAGGTTGATAGTTGTTTTGAGTTGAAGATGTTGTTCAGTATAGGAACGCTGTCAGTGCTCCTCCATTCTATACCTTCACGTCCCCATCAGATTAATGATGCTACCTAAATATTTTGTTTTTGGATATTGTAACCTCAATTCTTCCCATCATTAAATCTAGACAAATCAGTTTGAAGAGTTTAATATCGATACACCTATTAGAAAATAAAATCTCATTAGATACAGCAAATAAACATTTGAAATGATGTTGTTGATGAGCACAATTTACCTCACTGAATTATACTTCTTGAATAACATTTTCGAACCCTAATCTCTTTGATTACTTCTAATAATTTTACTGTATCTACTACTATAGGATTTGAATTGACAATTGTGTCTCTGTGCTCATGTGGTATGGCAACTTGAACTGCTGTACTTACGTGCGAAGTTCTACGTTGTAACTGACTGACTCACACAAATAATCGAATCTATAATATCTTATCTATTGATAATTTTCATTGCTAAGAAAGGATTTTCATGTTCATAACTCACTCAACTAACTTTACATTAATTTTCTGCGGTTACTGATAAAATAATTTCAGTAATCTAATTATTTCGTAATTTAAATCAAACACTGACCTTTCATAAGATGACCAATCATAACAAATAAACGGTACACAACCGTTTTGTCCAAGGATAGAACTCTTTGTTGAAATTATAGATATGCATTGTTCAAGGGTCAAAAACACATTGTTGTAGTTTCGTTTACTGAACTGGATGTTTTGGTTGTGGAGTTTATTCTGCTGCTGCTGATGATGACATTGTTCAGAAGTAAACAATGAAAGCTCCACAACAAAAAACATCCAGCTCTGAGAACGGAACTTCGCCATAATCATCCATCCATCTGAGGCACAAATTTTCTCCATTGTTTCAAAAAATAAAGATTTAAAAATGTTTCTATATCTTCCTATAGTGAATATGTAAGTTTCAGTTGAAATGCTCAACTGAAAAAAAACATTATGTAAGAATATCATATTACCGTAGTGGACATTATTTTATTGATTAACTGAACTTTAGAAAAGTAACAGCACTGAACTCGACACAGTTCTAACTCGAGCGTAAATACTTACAGTGCAATGAACAAACAATAATGGTAAAAATAGTTGGAAATGACTGATGGTAGATTTAAACTTATATTTTTTGTTGGTTGGTCTGTAAATTGTCAGAAAGTTATATTTACTATTTACAGAACTCATACTTGTAACATTGTACCCGAAATGAAATGGTTGAGCAACAAATATATACATATTGAGATTCTCTGTTGATTGGTTGACTCCCACTTGGGAATCATATGCCACACTATTACATTACTGACAAATATGGACACATTGACGTAGTTTATTAGTGTAAAGTATAATGTTTAAGATTTTTATATCTATCAAAAATATCAGTCTTAGGCTAACTGCCTTCATTCAATTCAATAAGATATAATATCATCACAGGAGAACTATCGAGTTTGTTGTGGCAGTTGTTGATGTCAGCTAACACTTGATACATTGGTTCACCTGACTGTTGTTTCTTTTCGCCTTAAAAAACAAACAATATTAAGAGCAATAAATGTACTAGTCAATACGTATACAAAATCTAATGACAGGATTAGATTTCGTTGAAAAATCTTATAAATTCACACTTATGCTAGAGTTATTTAATGTTTCAATAAATGTAAGAGTTGAAAATTTTATTCAGACAGACAGATACAACTCAGAACTTTGTACATGAGTACATCAGTTCAGGTTGTCACATCCAGTTTACATTTCTAGTGATCTTATCATGGACGAAGATGAAAGCAATCGCTAAGATTATAGCGTTTTTGGATAAATATATAGAGGCTGGCTAATTCCTTGATACATGCTTTATTTTGACCTCTGTAAGACAGCACGATAATTCTGCATTTATATAAATGTAAAGCTTGATCACGAAGTTATTTGATCACTAAAATATTCTTTATTTTTAAATTGATTTCCAGTTGAAATCATTTTGACAAATCTATTTGTGACAAGATTATTGGAAAGACATATTTTGTAAATTAGTCACATTTTTGTCCGATCAGTTTAGTTATATCAATTAGTCCTTCAAAATAACATTATTTAGACTTATTCTCAACTTACTTAGGACTATTAACCTTCATGGAGCACAGATCATTGATGAGCATTCTCCAACCTATTCTGTTCTGGACCTTCTCTTCCATTTCTCTCTATATGTGATTCTAATTCAGCAAGTAATGTGTTCTTTCATTTTACTCTTCTCATTTGGCACTGAGGATTACTAGTGAAGGCTTACCTCATGACACAGTTGGATAATTTTCTTCAATGTATGTCCTATGCACAATGAGTGCCTCTTATCGATTTCTTCCTCGGCTAAAATCTGATTAGTTCTTTCCTATAGTAGGTGGTTACTGATGGTATCTAGCCAATAAGATCGTCAGTGTATCGCGTAGACAAGTTTTATAGTCTATCTCTCAAATAGCCTTTCAAATTGACAACTCATACATTTTGAACTTATTTATGAATCAACCGCGGTAAATGTTCAATAATTCAATATGATACACCTTTTTATTCACTTATTTATACATGACTTGTTTCGACTATTAGAGTAAAGTAGTTGTAAACTGATAGAGACAAATTATGAAGTTGTTGAAACGAACTGTTCACTCAAATATTAGATAATTTTCAATTGCTTAAAGTTGGACAGTGATTAATGTAACAGAAACTTTCAACGATTAAAGTGAAGAAAATGCTTCATCATTGAATCTGATAGTCCAGTCTCAGTTATTTTGGCAAAATAATCGATAAACTTGAAGAATTAGATGTAAAGATTAATTATTTTGTAAGAATTGCTGAGATTAATTTATCAATGACTTCGTTGATGACTAGATACTCTAGTTGCATGTTGTGTTTTGTCAAACGATGTTGATTTTCACCTAATATCTGTTAAAACCTACTAACTTTGCTAGGGCTTCTGTTACACTGGTCATTTTCTCCTGCATTTATTATTGTGTTCGGGATAGAAGAGTTAGATCATCTGCAATCATCTGCAGATCGTCTAACTGTATCTAAGCTGTCCAGTGTGTTCCTTGATTCCAGTCATATGTTAACGTCTTGATAATACAGTCGACCAGCTGACGAAAGAGAAAATGTGATAGTAAGCATTCTTGACGGATACTGATCTTTACTTGTAACACGTCTGTCAGCTGTCCTCCATGTATGAACCTGCAGTTTATTCCCTAACACGAATTGTGTGTGATATTGATTACTTTGTCTTGAATATCCAATCATCCTGTCCACATTGTCTCATGCTTCCTCGTAGACTATTCAGTTGACAATCAGTAATATCACGTGCGATTTGATCGATACATAATCTCGACGTTGTGTGACTACTGAATTTCTAATTCATTATATATATGAGAAATATATATTCACTAATCAGTAATTTATCTTTTCCAAAACGATGAGGCAATTTCAAATGAAATCATACTGTCAGTATTGGTATCAATGAAAGTTAATTAATGCTATTCAATGAAATTCATTATCGATATTTTTTTCAAAGAATTTTGTACAAATTGACTGTTTACATGAATTACACTGATCAATATTTGGTGAGAACTAACTAAACATCGCAGGTGTCTCTGTATTCAGTTGTATTTATATAGAAATATAGTAAATAATTTTCATTCCACAACTTACGATATTCAAAACACATATAAACCTATAGATATTTATCTGTATGTTGTTTGAAATATGTTAAGTTGCTCTGATAATAATAAACATTTTTACCTAATGAATTCCATTGGCAATCTTTCTCATTTCCCCAAGCTATTAACCAACGTGGAGAATCATTCTGTAATTAACGAAATGCTTCCTCTTGACTTTTGCAATCAATTCATTAACATCATAGGTTGGAAGAGGTTTTAAAAAGCCAGTGATTCATACTCAGAGATGAATGTCAGTTAAACAAAACAATGTTAGAATAAGTGGTTATTAGGAATCTTAGCCACAACATTGTTTCAATTAAATAATTGTACTTTCTATATTGAGAATAATACAATAATCAAAATTTTTAAGTTCCCTCTTTACATATGTGGTTATCAGCCATGTAATTCCCACAGCGATAATGGATTCCAATATGATTTCAAATCGATTATGATAGGAAAGAATATTCCCAAGTAAAGTAAAGTCAGTTTCAACCTCCCTAGATGAAATGTAACTTCAAGTAAACATTTCTAACAAATAAGAGCTGATCCTTTCGAAATCTATTAAAGTTTCTATCAGTGTGCCTTTTATATTTCACATAAATCTGTTTGATAACATAACACAGACAGATAGGCAGATACAACGCATAACTTCGTACATGCGTACATCAGTTTAGGTTGCCATGCACCATCAGCACAGAGACGCAAATGTCAGTCCGAATCCAAGAGTGATAGCAATAATAGAAGTATTAGCAGTAATCGAGAAGATTAGGGAGCGAAGATATGAGTTAATGAGGACTGTAGAAGCTTAGAATTTCATAGAACACAAAGAGTGGTGGATGCACCTGCGCCATTGCAAACGATTCTGAGCCATGTCATTCAAGGTCTCCAACCATCGTTGACTATCGTCTTGCGGACCCCAACCAGGTAGCCTACATCTACCAACATGACTCAGTCCACTTGTCAGTGACTTCATTGATTTGTACCATGTTTTGGTTTGGCCACACTTAGCGGCCATAACATAAAGAAACATTCTTGTTTGAAGAGTACAATCATGTCTGCTAGATAATATCAACCAGAGTGAGATTGTCAAGTTGATAACAAGCAGTGTATGTTATGGTCACAAAAACAGTTTCAGCTATTATTTTCAATGAATTTTCGGTCGATTAGTTCCCTAAATAAAAAACACCAAATAAACACTTCATATTGAATCTCAATTTATTTATTTCATTTTGGGCATTATCTACACCTAAAAACAATGATTAATTAACCGTACACATACAACAAACAGTTCATGAAATCATATCAACTAACAACAACTAATCTCATTGTATTTTGTGTGTGCCATTTTCTCTTATTAGATAAAAAAGTCAAATGTTATCGATGTTCAGATTGTCCAAATCCATTCGATAAAACTCAAGTCATTGAATTAGCCAATTGTAATTTTTGTCGAGTAAGTTTACATCATTTGATTTAATGAATGCGTTGAGTGTTAGCGAAAAACAACAGCCGTTCAACTTTCACTATTCAATGTTCATTTAAACATTCATTCATTGTTGTGATAAATTATCTTGAGTTTCTCTACTACAGATTCATTATTATTCACATTATAAATAAAGTGATGAGATTAAACTCATGGACTGTAGTAATTTGTTGAGTTTCATTAAATATGAACTAAGTAAATGATGGTATGAGTACATCACTTCAATAAATACTGATAAAATCGATTTCAAATCCGCATCACTTAATGGTAATGAAATTTATTGTTAAACGGATTCAGATTTCAACTAAACAAGTTCTGACCTCTTAAATGGCTTTCTCTATTCCCACATGGTAATGTCACTGCTTGTCGATAAATTAGTGCGATTTTATGCAATTTCAGTAGTGTGTAATCCAACTGTAATCTAGACAAACGGATTGAATATGCCATGAATTATATCTTACCTTCAAATTCCGTATATCTTTCTAAGGCTAACACAGTTTGTGCCACAGGCGTAATAATAAGCCAAACATAGATTCAGTTGGATGGGATTATTTCATACAAATGTTCACTAATGCAAACATGACCATTCAAAGTGTGAGAAGGCTACTGAGTCAAATCAATGAGATGAGGCATAACTAAGTATTCATAGTCAGACAAAATTATGCTTGACCTGTGACAATTGAAGTAAACAATGTACGCACACGAACTCAAGTAATGGCAACCAAGATATGAGTAAATAATTGCCAAGATGAAAAGACCAAAAAATCGTAACTGGTGCAGAATTCAGCTGATTCGTCTGTCCAAAACTTGAGACAAGCCATTTGGGCACAACATTTTAGTGCACTCATTAAACATTGTTTAGATACTTGAATTTAGTAAAAAATTCCAAATGTTTTCAATTGGACAAGATCCACTTGTTAAAATTTTAAGAGAGCTGCGCGAATGTTCCTCGACTACTACGTCTTATTTGCCAAGCGCAAATAAGTTACATTATTTCTTTACCAAATAATTTAACTGAGGTAGCCAGGATATGCCGTAGACAGCATACTACTGATTGGCTATGATTGGGTTGTTCAGCGCTAATCGACAAAAGAATCAAGAATCTTCACATGTAAAATTATAAATGAACTAATACCTCAGTTCATCTTATCTGAAATACAGTAACGTACTTTTCTAGGACATGTTGTGATTATGAGGACTGGTCGAGTCATCTGACGTGACTGAAGACGAACCTATTTTATACTTCATCTATTTGAGGTACAGGAAACAGTCTCTGTTATTAACTGATATATATAAACAGTAAGATGTTGGAAGCAAGTGTCCAATGTAATACTCGTCATGCTGTGGAAATTAATTCAAAAGAAATTTTGAAACGATTTCCCATTTTGTTAGGATTTCATAGTTGACTATTTGCAAAATCATCAATTTGATTCATAACATCATTCAATGAGATTTTTTTTAAGTTTTTTTCCAATGATCAGTTTGTTACGCCTGCACGCAAACAGGTTAACTATTACGAGTTTACCTAGTCGAAAGACGAGAGCGAGGATCGAGGATCCGTTGACACGACATACTACTCAAATCCAATTGTCCCCGCCCGGCTCCCCCATCATAAGTAAAAATAAGAATACTTGATATGAAGTAGAACTTGTATTCTACAAACATCCAGAAAGTACGAGGTCCAAATCCAGAAGAAAATCAGGATCCCGGGCTAGCGATCCGGGACCGAGCCATGGTCCTGGTCGTGGTCATAAAATGTTACAGATAATGCGTATTTATACATTTTGGTCGAATGGGAAACAGCATCGAATTCTGTGGCATTGACAGTTAAGACGACCAATAGGAAGTAATATTTGAAATGACATTGACAGTCCGGATGACCAATAAGAGACAACATTGAAGTATTTGACTTTGACAATTAAAACGACCATAATTTTGACCAATAGAAATCGACCAATAGGATTTGATCAATAATTCTCTTAGGATATTGAATGAATATCCTAACACAGTTTCAATGAAGAATCTGTTTATATTTCGTAACGTGCAATACTGTTGTATAGGCAGTATGGATTGATCTTCTAGATTTGGCAACCGGATTTATTCTTGTTGTTGACGTTCATACATGCACAATATGTAATTTACTCCGGAAACAGTTGTAATACAATTTGTCACAATGTCACCATAACTTTTATATTTTTTTGTAATTGTCGTACATTCTAAAATATTTGCCTTTTCACTCTATTCAGACAGTGTACACTTATCGTGATGAAGATAATTATCGAATTGCCAAAGATTGTGTAGCAAGTTGTGTTCCACAAGATCGTCGTGGTGGTAAAGCTGGTCTAGTGACTGAATGCTGTGATGAAGATTATTGTAATGCCTCAGTGAAACTTTATTCTGCATCATTTCTATGGATGATAACCAGTTTGACAATATTGATTACTTATTATGCTAATAAATTGATCTGTTGAATTTGAAGCCTCTCTCTCTCTCTGTCTGTTTGGAATTCATTTCACCTATTTGAAATTGTTCTAATGCGTTTATCTCATAATTCGCATAAATTTATTTGTTTAGATTTGTGTTTATACCGATCACATCAGTAAATAACTAGATGTCATTGTTGTTTCTTTAGTCGTTCTACGCCAACTTCTCTTATCCCTACTTTATTATCCATATGTCAATGTACAATCTGAATGAATTCAGATTTTTAAAAAAAATGATTGATTTCTGTTGTTTTTATTAATGAACTATGTATCACAAATATAAAAGAATCTAGTGTTTTTTTATTTTATTGTGTGTAATAATATCTTGTTTTAATGCACTTTTTGTGTATTGATCAATTATCAATTATCACTGATCACATTGTAATATGTTTTGTTCTTCAATATTGATTCTTAATATTTACGTCTATTATTAATATTACTATTATTATTACTATCATTATTATCACTGATATAATGAAAGTTTGAGATTCTGCTTTTTTTTTCTTTCATTGTCAACTACCTATTTTGCTTCATTTTTGATATACTACTTATTTGAATGGTGCATTCTATCCATAGGTTGCAATATTTTATTCTTGTGGTTTTGTATCATTGAGAAGGAAAGTGTTTTTACTTGTTTTGTAGGGAACTACTAATACACAATGATGTAATGCCTATCTTTTTTGTTCTCGTCTATATATGTATACGTATATTGTGTATGTATGTATTGCAAGTTTTAGCTTAATCAATCACACACAATAGAGTGTATTCATGAAAAATCGACTTCAGGTTGGAAATTTTTTTTTTGGTACTGACTGACTGATATTTTACTTTTGCGTTGTATGTTAATTTTTAACAGAAATTAAATGAATTTTCATGTTTTTCCTAAAATAAATGATATATATTTATATATAAATGGTTGATGCAGTTTTTTTCCCTTTTATCAATCTAAATAAAGCTCGATCGTTTGTTGTTAGCGAGTTGAATGCGGTCCCTTACTCGATGCTCAACTCTGCCTATTTATCCGAGCTTGTGAC